TGAAACTGCTCAAAGTGGGGAGTTGCACAAGGCTCAACCGTCAACTCTTTCCTCTATTTAAAGGATCCTCAACCTCTCATTTCGATACACCAACAAACACATAAAATACATGAGTTCATTCTGCATACACACATTCTTCCGTTTTCTTTTCTGCATTAGTCTACAGAGAGTACTTCTGGTTCTGGTTCGTTGTCTTGCAGTAGAAGTGCTGCTTCTGCAAGTATCTGATTGTTGTATCATGGGAGACGCTTTACCACATACCCTAAACACCGTGTGACGGGGTAAAAACGTTTTAAGGACAGAGAGCCTAGCTCTCGCCTCGATCATTCTTATTCCGAATTCTGCTCTTGTTTATGCATTTTATTCTTACTATTTTGCAATTGTCAATCTGTTTTAGCAAGTCATCATCTGGAAATTTTATTCTATGCAAATAAAGTAAAAAAAAAAAAAAATCTTACACTTATATAGTTAAAGATAGAACCCTTCGACTTGAGATATTATCTTGTTCTCACATATTACTTTAACTCTATCTTTTTGAGCACCCGTCCTTTTCTTTCCCTCCTCGACAACTTCATTTTTAATCGCAATAATATTTGAACCAGTGGTTCTCTTCCAATAGCAAGTTCCAAGATTATGCTGTAAGTGTTTACAGAAAGTACAATAGTATGGGGATTCTTCGTAGAGTAATGTTATTTAACACCACTAATGTTAAACACCAGTGTTGGTGGCATTAATGTGATATTAAATAAGAGACAATTAAATGAGTTACTTAATTTCACATTTCATCGAGCGTATCACGTGGCAGGTGTTTGAAAGCATTATTCTTTTTCGTAATATATATACTCTGCCAAATGGCAAACTGATCATTACCGAATGAATTCTAGCCAATTTTGGAGCATTAATATCCACCTCAATATAGCTACTTGCAAGACTTATCCTCACCCTTATGTTGTAAGCTCATCCAATTTAAGAGGTTTGCCTAGAACAAGTGCAATTGGAAATAATAACCAACATATAAGGTCTTGTGCTATTCAAAAATATCCCAACAAGCTAAAATGAGCATTTCCATCCATTTGAATTTCAATATTAATGTTCCCAAACGAGTTACCATATCTTGCCAGGTCATGTGAAGGTGACATCCACACATCAGTTTTATAATGAAAATAATAAAAAAACATATAAGGTCTTGTTCTACTAAAAAAATTTCGTTACAAAAATTAGCGTCATCGTAAATAATTCGTTGTAAAATTAAAGAAATAACCTAAAAATTCCTATATTCATGGTTACTTACCAAAGATCAAAACATTTACACTTTCGATTACAATTCTACCTTATATTTCAAAATTAATATTACCACAACTATATTTCTTCTGCTACTGAAAAATTTCTCTTCCTTTAATTTCCAGGTACTAACCACTAGGATAATTGCAACCATTGTAACCTACACCAGAAGAAAAACACCATAAGAATCAGCAATAATATATAGTCGAACAAATTCCTTTTTGAAGAAAACTGGAAGGGATCATGTACATGAATGACGGTTCATGAATAAGATGGCTATTAAATGAAATATTTGATGCGATGAATCACCAAATGACATGGTTCGTATTAAATCTTAAGGTTCTATCTTAAAAGGTTAACTTTGTTATGTTTTCATATTTAATTAAGGTGGGATTATGTTCACGGTATCATGATCATGAAAACAAAGGCAGTCATTCATTCATTATAATCACGTTAATAAGAACTTACTCGGATTAATAGTAGTGAGAGTTGCGGTGTGAGAGAAATCGCAGCTCCATGGATTCCTACCATTAGATTGATAATAAAGATTCATCACATAAGTGGCATGCGATTCTATATTATTCGGTTCAAAACAAGCACCCCCTTGCTGAATTGGACTACAATCAATCCCTTTGCTACAACCTAACTTAATATTTTCCTCCAATTGAGCATCAGAGACCCCAGCTGGCCTCGGCACACACCAAATTCCCCCGAGTTTTGGTGGTGGTGTCCCTGTTGATGCTGGTGCTGGTTTGGGACTTGCAGGAGATGTTGGCGTCATTGAATTCTAGGCGTAACAACCCAAAAAATGTGAGGATTTATACATCAAAGCTAAGTTGCATGAAAGCGAAAACGAAAAATGCTACAAAATATGTCGAAATGTTATTTTTGTGAAAAGTAGGATAAGAAAAAATTACTAATAGTATTTATAAATTCTATATTTGATTTTATAAAGTTTATTTGGCGTTAATCCAAACTCCAATCACTTGTTAATAAAATTTGAGTTAAAACCTGTGATTAGGCCAAGCTTTAGTTGAACCTCAATAAAGCCCACAACAGAATGAAATTTCTAATGTATACTTTACTGTGTAGCTTTAGCAATGTAGAATAGATGGATAAATAAGGAATGAATTGTCTCACTTGTGAGCTCTTAAAGAGACCAGTATCATAATGTGGGGAACCATCAGCTCCAAAAAGCCCGAATGATTGCTCCGACTTCGGCCCTAATTTTAGATCCTCATCATAGAGTTCATAGATATAGGTGTCAACATTTTTTCCTGGCATAAGTGGGGTGCCAAGATTTGATCTCAGGTGGTTTATCAAGTTTCCAACATAAGCTTTTGCATTGTCCAAGCTGGGGCCAACTTCGTTCGGGCCGTTTTGGTAAGGCCACCCCGTCTGAGCAACGACGATCTCCATGTTTTTATATCCCATCGCATTTAAGGCAGAACGTACAGCGTCAACCTTGACGACATAATTTGCAAAAGAAATTAATGTATCAGTATTCTTATCGAAACCGACTAACTTAAATTATTTACCTGTACGTCGAACATATTCATGTACTCGATATTATTTCTCAAGTCAACTTGCCCTGAATTCGATTGGAAAAGGCAGAATGCCAATGTTTCAGGCTTTGGATCTCTCTTGTATGCATAGAAAGGAGATGCATTGATCATAAAAGGTGAACCATGTTCGCTCTGGAACTGAAGCAACGCTTTCATCGTGTCGCCAAAACTATCGTTGAAAGCCCCCGACGAGGGTGGCGAAAATTCTGTTAACAAATCCATTGAATGTACCGTTGTGACCTTAATTTTCTCACCCAGTGAAGCTGAAAGTCACATTATAAATCTTTTAGGATTTCATCTTTTGCCATTACTAGCAAAGTCGAGTAGAAGTCGGTAATACGAGCAATTAAATACCAGTATTAAGGGCATTCTGGATATTTTTCATGGCTGGCAAGATCGAGGAAATTGCGTCTTCATCTCCCGCCGATGTCAAGACCTCGTTACCAACTGTGACGATTATGATCTTACTAGCTGGGTAATACGGCATCACGTTGGAGTTGACCCATTGACTCGCGGCATCAGGGCCGGTTGCAGCCCAACGAATTTCCGAATTGTCGAGTCCTATCACGAGTCCGATGTTGGTGTTCGCAAATGCTTTAATCGTAGCCTTCGTCGACTCATCAGAAGAACCTAACAATCTGACCTTTGCGATGGTCGTAGTCTTCAAAAGGTTCACTATATCCCCTGGCTGAGGAATGTTGAGGGCCTGGTCCCCATAATTCACTCCAATATATGATTGCGAGTCTAAACAAGATGAAAAAGAAACTAGAATTAGGGAAATCAGATAGGCAATTTCAATGAAATTTCAATAGCATTGTATAAAGGAAAATTCTACGTATATATGCACTGATCAAAACCTTTTCCTATAAATTTTCAAATGGATATAGGTTAAAGTTGTGCTCAAGTTTTCTCATATTTTCAGTTAACAAACTTAGCCACGTTTGGTTTAGATAAAAATCAAAATTTTAATAGATTTTGATAAAAATTGATGTAATGAATGGTTGAAAAATTGTGGATCCTACGAAATGTGTTACTAAGATTAATTGTTGAATTTGACTTTAGATTTTTATTAAATTTTAAGCATACCAAACATGGGCTTAGTATATTTTGATAAAAGTTAATTTGAAAACTCGATAAAATTTATACGGTTCATAAAATGTGTGGTAAAAAATGAGTTTTAAAAATTTGGGATCAGCTTATTTTTGCATGAAAACTGATGCAACAAAAACACGAAAATAAGGACTCGGGAGTAAAAGTCGTCTCCCTATCGTGGTATTTCGTTCCATCAAAAACCAAAAAAAAAAAATTGTTGATTGGATTTTAAAGAGAGAAACTGAACAAGAAAATGAGATAAGCAACTATTAATTCCGTAGAGTTAATGAACTTACTTGCAGAGTAAACATTTTGTAGTAAAAATAAAACTAGGAATGTCAGAGAATATTTCTGCATAAATGCAGCCATGGCTATGGCTATGTATGTGTTACGTTAAGAACAATTTGGACAATGAAAATAAAAGTTTTCTGGTAAAGAACCCCCAAAAAATATAAATAGATGCCTAACCAACTGTAAACTAAAACATAGGAATACAACATCAGGTACATACCATAATGCCTGAACCGTAGGAAATTGTCTGAACAAAGGCAATTGCGAAAAGAGAATCCGAATATAAAGGAAACAATAATAGACTGAGTCTTCCAGCTTTCAAGTAAACTGAAATGGTTGCCATTGATGCTCCAATTTACACAAAATTGGCTTGCAGATTGCGGATAAGAATGTTGCGGGTATTTCTATACCTGAGACGACTTGATTAAGGGCTTCAGACGGTTCATGTCTCGGTCTCGAGGCCTGTCCTAAGATAGGAAATCAGGTATAAAATTTGTTGGAATTAATTGAATTTAATTGGGTTAAATCATTAAATGTGATATGTAATGATGTGGGCCAATGCAATTAATTTGGGTGAATTGGAACAGTCTCTAGGCCCATAAGTTGATAAACCCATTTTAAGTATCTTATATATGGTTAGGAATCCCACATCGAAAGTTTACAAGAAAAACACTTGTTCATATAGTGAGATGTGTGGACAAATTATAATTTAATAAGTGACCTACAACTTAGTTAACTTTGGCTAGTCGAAGGCTAGCGAACTAGCCACCAATAGAGTGGAGCCACTAGCACTTCGGTCCCGACCCGCGCAAGTCGTAAACTTTACACTGGGCGCTTTAGAGGCGCACTTCGCACGTATGCATCGTTGCGAGGAGTTGGGGAGCCTTATAGTTTTTGGAAATGGACTCATGGTTCGATGACATGTGAACAGGAGGCTCGATGAGTTGGCATCCTAGGTGGCACACACGTAACACGTGGCGTTACTTCGTCATGCATGTCAGTTGGTTCAATTGGATGTACACAAGACATCTGCATGGCTGGTGAATAGGTATGATGAATGGACACTATACTTCATTATTTAATTTGGGTCGTCGATCATGAAATGGTGCGATCCAATGGCTAAGACGAATCAAACCAAGTGGCGCATCAGTTCATGAAATGTTACACACCCATTGAATGAGACACTTCATTCTCTATAAATAGAAACCTCAAGATTCATTTTTCAATACCCCAAATCAATTAAAATAAAATTGATTTCTCCCTCTCTCCAAAATTTTGTTCTAAAAATTCTTCCATATATATATTCGTGGTTATTCC